GTGTGGCGCCCCCCCCCCCCCCCCCCCGCTGCCCTCCTGGTCCCAGGCCTTGGGTGTGGGGGGAAGGGACGGTGCCCAGTGCTCCTGCACTTGGCCGTGTGGTACCGACGCAGCGCCCACAGCATCGCCAGGGGTCATGGACAGTGCGCACAGCCTCAGACCCTCATGTCAAGGAAACTGGGTAAGACAGCTCTATGCTCAAATCATGTTGCTTCCACGGTAACCACTGTTTCTCTAAAGGAACAAAATACACAAATAACCACAGTGGCACCTGGCAAACATAAACCCTTGTTACTTTCGATACTAAAGCAGATAACAAAGTTCAACACTGCAATTTCTATGAGGGTTTTTAGTCTAATGGCTCCATGTTTAGGAATCTCCTTAATTAAAAGCCTCATACAAATGTGGGAAGTTAGGGTTGATGCCCTATGCTTTGTACAGACCCCAACCTCCTGATAGGAGAGCCAGATCTAGTCCATGGATATCCACTGTACCTTCCTACACAGAATCAATGTTAGGGAAAGAAAGTGCATTGAATGGAGGTGCACCTGAGTCTCCTACCTTATCCACATTCATCCGCTTGAAGGACGCCTGCAGGAGTTTGAAATTGTGAATGTACTCGTGCTCCAACTTCGCCTGGAATTTTACTTTCTTCAAACTGATGCAGCCGGGAAAGAGCATGTCCATGAACTGGCAATAGGCCGCGCCTGGGGAGACAAGAAAAGCGCGGGGTGAGTCTTGCCACCTGTCCCCGGTGCCACTGGGGACGCTGGGCAGGAGGGGCTGTCATCACCCGCAGCCTCCCGGCCCTGCCCCCCCCCCCCCCCCCCCGCTGCCCTCCTGGTCCCAGGCCTGGGTGTGGGCGGGAAGGGACGGTGCCCAGTGCTCCTGCACTTGGCCGTGTGGTACCGACACAGTGCCCACAGCATCGCCAGGGGGCATGGACAGTGTGCACAGCCTCAGACCCTCATGTCAAGGAAACTGGGTAAGACAGCTCTACTCAGCTTCCACCAGAAACAACAGCGCCCTATTTTTTCTATCATCCAGCTCCAAGTCATCAAATACATCAATGTAAGATAAAAATAGCAGACATTTTAACACGAGGCAACGTCTAACGTGCTCATGAGATGGGTAGCTCAGGAAATACACACAGGCCACAGTTTACACCGTTTCACCAAGGGGCTCAGGTGAAACGCTAACCAAGCCACCGCACACCAGAGCAGGTGCAGACCCGTTCAATCCAGGCCAGGCCAGGCCACAGGGCTCCCACAGGACATGGAGGAGGGCGACTCTGAAGCCCACCGAGGCCCAGAGTCACGCTGCTCTGACCGAGGAACAAAAGTCACAAAAACGCGCAGAGCCCCCTGAGGAAATGGTCATAGAGAAAAGGTTTACCAGGAAGTCTCTGGTTTTCTAAAATGAACTTTAGATCATGACAATTTCAACTAGAAAGTCCTTGCCAGGTTATGTTGACTCATTCGGATATTCTTTATGGTCAAGTCTAAGGGTGCTGAGAAGGAGAAATTCAGAGCCAGAATGGTCCTTTCTCTTTAATGAGGCGCGAGGGGTCGTTGCTGCTCTCTCCTCTGCTTCCCCAGGTCTGGGGGGGGGGGGGGGGGGGGGGGGGTGATGCGCCGGGATGGGCCTTTCTGGAGCACGAAGGCTCCTTTCACCCTTTGTACCAGGGTTTCTGTGCGAAGCCTTCACTCTTCGGGCGACTCACCTTTACCTAGAAGACCCCACTGGGTGTCCCATGTCAGATGGGTGCTGAGCATCCCTTATTGGGATAGGAATCCAAGATAAGAGGGAAGAGGATACCAGGGCTTAGGCTTAGACCAGGAAATGGCGGGGCAGCTCACTCACGGGTAAGCTTAGGCTAAGGGCTGCCAGACCAGGAAATGGCGGGGCAGCTCACTCACGGGTAAGAGCATACAGTGATGAGATAAGGCCACACTGAGCATGTCCAGCAGTCTTTACATCCGGGATGCTTCCCCTTAGATGCCGGTACCCTACACTAACTGGTCCATCTCTAGTCAAGCAGATGGGTTCTCTTTAAAACAAGACAAGACAGAACAAGCCAAACAAAAACATCAGGGGAGGCAAGAGAAACATCATGACCACGGGTGTGCTCATCGTTCAACTATTCAGTTCTCCCTCTTGAAGCGCCACCAGATGGAGCGAATTCCAACGGCCACCTTCAAGTTACTTTTATAGAAATGGAGGTGTCTACATACACGGCCTCATCACCTGCTCTTTCAAGAGTTTCCACTTTCGTAGAGTTTAGCATAGATTTTGCCTGTGCAGAGCCGGATATCTTTGGATTCTTACAAAGAATCAACCAAATCACTTACTAAAAATAGCTCTTGAAAAAACAACAACAAACTTGACTGAGGGAGGCAGAGAAAACCACTGTTTATGTTCTGGTATGTACTTTTTTTTTTTAGTTTAACAGACCATGATTCCCTTCCTGAGTCATAGAATATTCTTTACTGACATTTTTAATGGATTTCTGATTTTTACATCATGCTTAGCAACGTTCCCAAACCAAGATGACATAAATATTCACGTGTCTTTTCTTCAAATAAATACTTTTATGGTTTCAGGTTTTACACCGACATTTGAACCCACGTGGTTTATTTCGGTCTCTGACAGATACGGGCGGTTCTAGTCACCAAGATGACATAAATATTCACGTGCCTGTTCTTCAAATACTTTTATGGTTTCAGGTTTTACACCGACATCTGAACCCACGTGGAGTTTATTTCGGTCTCTGACAGATACGGGCGGTTCTAGTTGTGCTGACCCCACGTTCGTGGGAATCGGCATTTTGGGCTCCAGCATTTGGGCACCTTCCTACCCAAGCTGATGCCCCAGTGCCCCGCCCCCTACTCTAGTAGCAAAAGTGGGCAGCCACCCCTCCCACCCCCAGCAGTAAGCACGCCGCCCGGCACCCAGGCTCTGCATCTGGGTGCTCGCTGCGTCTCGGGGTCGGAGGGAGTGACAGGAGCACGCGGGGACCCTGAGAACGCAGTCACGGTGGCAGGGTGGGTCTGGAGAACTGAAACAGCGACGCAGCACTGTGGCCGCCCCACCACTCGTCCAGGGGCACGAGGCAGGCTGCTCCGGCTCCTGAGCATCTTTTGGTTGCGGTCATTTTCTGAGTTTGGTTTCCCACGGATGCTGTTTCCCAATATCCTGCCTTTCAATCAGGGGTGGGGAACCTTTCTTCAGTCAAGAGCCATGTAGATGTTTATAACATGAGTCCAGGGCCATACGAAATTATCAACCTAAACATTAGCTGCTCTATTCGGTCAAGCATGTAATGAACTCACCCCTAAGGCCTTGGCAGGGCCGGACCAAATGACGTCACGGGCCGTATAAGGCCGGACGTTCCCCACCCTGCTTTAAAGGCATTTTCTGCTCCAGCTTGCCAGGAGTATTTTCTTCTATTTTCAACCCAAAAGGCCAACTGATAAGGGTGGCTAAGTGTTGAACACCATTATTTCACAAATGACCTATACTTTTCCCACTGAGGAAAAACAGTATCTGTACTATATATTACTTCCCAAATACATGCATTTAGGTCTCTTTCTAGATTTAAAATGTACTACTATCTGTAGAATAATTTCCCCTTTCCTCTAAAAAATTTCTTGAATTTTATCATGCAGTTGTCCTTTCCATTATATTTTTTTAAATTGGTCATTCATGGCATGTAGAAAATAAAAATTTAAAAAAATTACTCATTTACTACTTAATAACAGAACTTTATTAAGATAGAATGCACACGTTATAAATATTTTTAAAGTATATTTCATGGTTTTCAATATAGTCACAGAATTGTGCATCCATCAGATTTTAATTACCCCCAAAAGAAACGCCATCCCTATTAGCAGAAATTCTCCCTTCTCTCCTCCCGCCAGGCTCTCGTAACCACTCATCTATTTTCTGTCTCTATGACTTCGCCTAATTTTGATATTTAATATAAATGAGATCATGGAATAGGTGGCCTTTGTGTCTGGTTTCTCTCACTTAGCAAAATCTCCCAAGGTTCATCCATGTCGTGGTGTATCCGAAGCTCCTACTCCTTTTTATGGCTGAGTAATACTCTACTGTTATTACTGAATATTACGACTATACACGTTTTATTGTCCCTTCGTGCTATGAACATTTGTGGACAAGGTTTTGCATGGACATACGTTTTTAGTTCTCTTGAGACACACCTGGGAGTGGATATGCTAACTCTATATTTAACATTTGAAGAGCTGCCAATGTTGTGATTTTATATATTAATATATACTTTTAATAATTTCA